TTTGCTAACTCTAAACGTAAATAGTGGTGAAGTGCTTTGAGATCCTCTGGTGAGATGTGCTGAAGAAAGGCAAAGGGCTGTACCCGTTCAGGCATTACTGCTTCTTATTTCTTTAACTTGTCACTGTTGCAGGAGTAATTAACCGTACCACAATTAGTGTTCTTGAGGTACGTTCCCAGCTGCCCCACGTTGTGTATGGGTTACAGTATTCAGGAGGAAACGGAATTTACGGGATTTTTGAGCACGGCTCCTGAAGGATGCGAGTTGGCTCCGCTGCTGCTGAGATGGGAGGGAGACGAAAGGTTCCCCAGCGCAGCACGGCTTCCTTTCCTGCCAGCAGCCTCCACTCGGCCAGTAGAGAAAGCAGGTGGTGATATTTTATTGTCTCCAACTCAAGTCCGGCTAATGAACGGCATGATACCTAGGCAGCTAGGTAGAAGAAAAGCCTATGAAATAGCTCCTGATCAAAGTATAAGCTAAAATCTTAAAGGTTGAGGATGGAATAAACAGCTTGTAAGGCAAGTTTCCATGGTTATATATAGGCAAACCTGAGTGTATTCTGTCTGTGTTCTGTATTAACTCTGGAAAGGTGCAGTGTTAATGTAGCTGTCTTGCTATATTATAACTGGGTCTGTCTGCACGTGTCCATGTGGATTGCCTGTGAGTTGATAGCATGCTCCTAAACCTTCAAGTGCTACTGAAGTCGTGATGTAACCTCAAATAGAAGAGACACTTTGAAAAAAGAACTAGAAGGGGAAAAAGAGACAGTTTTAAATCTTTTTAATTGTTTTCTTCTGAGCTGAGAAATCCGAAAGATGCCAAGTGACGTTGCCTAGTACTAAAAAAAGACATGATTTCAACTGACAGCGCAGCATCTCTCTTTACCAGTTTTGTCTAGCCAAATTATAAACCCTGGAGTTTTCTTTTTCTCATTCCGAACAGATTTCCACAACCCCCACCCTGCCGAATGATCTTGCTATGCAGCTGCAGCCTTTAGATTCTGCTACAGTGCAGAATTATGCATGAACCAGCAGAAGGAGCTCCAAGTCTGGTCATTGGCGTACAGCTGCTTTCTTACGCCTTGGGAAGGCAGCGCAGCAGCTGTGTCTAGAAATCATTACTTATCTATCGATTCTTTCCCTTTGCGCTTTGAATTCCGTTCGCCCAGCAGCCCAAAATTGCATCAGAAAAGAGCTTTGCTCATTTCTTTCTGTTCAATTGCACTGGAGTTATGGCTTTGCATATTAAAAAAAAGTCCCTCAAGAGACAATTTTGCACAACAGTCCCGAGTTCTGATGAGGGAGCAAGCTGCAGAATAGAAAAATACCACCCTGTCGTACTTTCTCCCAGAATTGCTCTTTCTCAGGATCTGAAGATGTGCAGATTAGGTGACTCTCCCTCCTCCCCCCCGCAGTTCCTGTGTTCCACCTTGCCAAGAACGTGGGTATGTCCAAAAGTGAAATAAAAAAGCCATTCTTGGGGGGCACCTCAAGCTATTGCAAAGTGCTGTATTGGAGTTTCATAAGAAAATGTATTCTTGTGGAATTATCAGCCTGACTTGCCGGAGCACAGATGTTTTTACTTGCATGCCCACAAGCGCACGGTAATTATGCATGCCACCGAGATCCGCAGTCTGAATCATTCAGGCCATGGAGGCCATTTGATAAATATGATAAATACGATAAATATGCACACCTTCGGCTGCTTATTCAAGTAGAACCAGCCAGGAGCTTTTGACGTTCATCCAGCTTAGGTGTTAATGCCAGTAGCCTAGGGCCACACAAACAACTTTGGGAATTTGGGTCTGAGCTTCTTTACTGAGGGAGGTGGCAGTGAGTGATGGTTTCAAGCATGGATAGACATTTTTTAGGAGTTTGGACCAAAAAGGCTATTTTGGGAAAGAACTGAATGGGGTTTGCTAGTGATCTGGCCAGGGGAGTCTGCCTTTCTCTCTTTCGGAGAAGACAGACTATGGATTACATTCTTTGCAGTGTAACTCCATCAATGTCAGTGGACTTCAGCCAGACTGTCCTTTATCTACATCTGCAGCCTTCCAAGTGCGTCACATTTTGCTGATCTGGGAGATTTCTTAGCATTTCTGTGTCATGATTAAAATGCATTAGTTCACCCTCCACAAATTGGTTTAGAGACAATAAAGAGCTCAGCCCAGCTCGGCATGGCAGACCAGATGCATCACAAGGTTGACTGCCACTCTGCGGCCACAGGATGCAGAAGACATCGGGCCATGTCATTAAAGCAATGTGGTTTTAAGGTCTACCAAAGCTAGAAACAACTGCTGTATGTCCCTTAAGAGCAGCCTTAGATTCACAGCTCTTTTGTGTTAGAACGTTAGCAATCTCGGTGGCACAAGGCCTGTTTGCCTTTGAAGTAATTCCTGGTCCTCTGGGTCAGGCGAAGATCCAAACCACTTACCAGGCAGAAGACGACATATTTCCCGACTCTAGCCATGTAAGGGACCTGTACCTGATGCTAACCTTCCCCCAGATTCTAAAATTCCTCACCAGTCTCTGCTGGGAAAAGTAGGCAAGGCACTAAAGGCTGGTGGCCTCCAGGAGAATGTCTGCACTCTTGCCTGGGCCAGGGCTAGAGTTCGCCCTCCACAGCAGATTCTGCAGTTGGTTACATGTCCACACATTGACCTTCCTTCCAACAAGGCAACTCAGAGCAGGACAGTGGTAGAAGTAGGGATGGAACAGGTAGGGCAGAGATGAGCTCAAGCCCATGCTCTATCCTTATGGCTTTAGTCACATAGTGTGGTAAATTCAAATTGACGGTGGGGGCCTGCCAAGAAGGATGGTACAGAAGTTGTCTCGGGTATCCTAGAACTGACCTTGTTCCAGGTTTGGCCCCAGGACGGCAAGGGCTCTGGGGCTGCACCCTGCTCTGCAGGCTTTCTGCGGGAGAGAGGAGCTTGGGAAAGACAGAGTAGAAAACTTGTTGATGAGTAACTCTATTCCAGCATGCAGATACAAGTGCAGACCATCTCCAGGTTGTTCTTTTCAAGTAAGTTTGAAATACTAACTGTGATGAATTTGTTAAAGGGTAATAAGTATGAATCACGGAGTGGGTTTTGTCCACCGTAAGGAAAGGTCTTGGTTACTCCCTACAGTGGACAGCATGATTTGATGGTATGTGCTGTAAAGAAGGAGAAATCAGTTAGACATAGTCAAGATGATACCACCATTTGGTCTGGACCTTCTGAGGATCTTAACAAGCCTTGACTGGTAAATGCTGGCGCAAGGGGAAGCGAATGAATTCTCTTTCCTAAAGCCATACTAAAGCCTTAGCTTTGCATCTAAAAGAGGTCCTAAATTATAATGCGGCAACTTCCAAAGTTGTCAGATGAGCTCCGTGAGCGCACTTTGTGAGGCTTTTTCCTTTGTCTGTAAGTATCTGACTGTGTGCAGCCTCCCTGTGCCCGGGCCGGCCGGCACTGGTCCCGCAAAGCATGTGTTTGTGTGTCGGTAGGAACCGCGAACTGAATGCAAAGAGTCGCATTTCTTTTACACACGTTGCTGTGGTACCTGGGTGCTAATCACCGTATTTTGCCTTCTCTAGCACCTTCCCAGCCGAGGATCTCAAAGTGTTTTACAAACATTAATTAATTTAGCTTCACAACCCTCGTGTGAGGTAGGTGGGTGATGCCATCCCGCTTTCCAGATGAGGACACTGATCTGCTTGGGTAGAGTCGCCTCGCTCCTGCGGTTAAGACCAGGGGAGGCGATGGCCTCGAGCTGGCCCTTGTGAAGCTTGCCACCCATCACGCGCCCGGGGCTGCCCTCCCCGCAGAAGGAAGAGCAGTTCTGCATGCAGCAGAGGGGATCCAGAGATGGCCAGAGCTTACCGCAGCCTGCGTCAGAGCCCTGCTCCTCCCTCCTTCCTGCCCTTCTCTGGAGCTGTGGTTTCCAGCCGGTCACACTGCCCTGAGGCTGAAGGAGGGATTGTCCCTCATCAGTGGTGTTGCGGGAAGGAAGTACAGAAGTAGCTGTATTACTGTTCCCTGTAGTCTACGCTTGGGTGGCGACGTGTCTCCCTTCTGGTCCGCTCCATCCACCCAGAGCCACCCTTCCTACACCGTCCTTTACCACGGGCCACGTAGGTCCCAGCTTGCGGAAGCTCCCCTTTCCATGGGAAAGCTGGAAGAGCAGCATCCCCTCACCCCCTTCCTGCACGGGAGCTGTGACTCGCGTATGTGGGACTTTTGCATCTAGAACCTGAAAGCGTAGCCTTGCCAGCCCGTCCATCGCTACCAGTTTGGATTGAGCAGAATCGGCCTGTTCTGCGTTGCGTGCAGCCGGTTTTGGCTGCAACCAGACTGGTAAATTTAAAATGAACCCTATGGAAAAGTCCTACAAACTCTCCTAAAGAAAATAATGAGTTGCCCTTCGTATAGGCAGAGTAGCGCTGAGGCGGTGCGGGTCCCTGCGGCGTAGCGCTTCCTCCAAAGCAGCGCTGCTCCCTTGCGACGCAGGAACCGGTGCCGAGCGGTCCTCGGGGCGAGGCTGCTCGGGGATGGTCGCCAGCGCGTGTTGGGGCAAAGGCGCTTTCCAGGCGTGGCTGGGAGGGCGGGTGAAAACGAGCTTGGAAGCACCAAGTGTTACGCTCGCGAGCGGGCCGAGTGATGCGCTTGTCTGCCTTCCTCGGACCAGACGGGTTCGCGTACGGCCTGGCCAGGCGTGCGCGCCTCCTTAGCCCACGCAGGACTTTTCCGTGAGGGCAGGCAGAACTCTGCCAATACAAAAGTAAAGTAACGGATCTTCTCCAGATCTTCAGCTCGTGGTCCAGTGTAGGCAGCCTCCGCGCTGAGAGCGTAGGCAGCTGCTGCGTTGCTCCGTAGCTTTGCCGTCTCTGGCACGTCTCCCTGTTGCTTGGGACCCTGGTTATTAAGCGATAAGAAGCCGTAGCATGCCGAAGAAAGACTATTGACCCAATTGCACTTTGACTGATCTCTTTCTTTTTCCCCCCAATCATCGATGCAGGTGTGAGCTACTCCAAGTCGGTTCCTCCAGCCTACCCACCACCCCAGGATCCATTAAATCAGGGACAATACATGGTGACAGATGGCATATCCCAGTCCCAGGTCTTCGAGTTCACCGAACCCAGACGCAGCCAGGCACCATTCTGGCAAAACTTCAGCAGGTTAACACCATTCAAAAAATAATACCTAGAGAGATGGAGAATTTTAACTTAAAAGAACTAAAATTTAAAAATAAAAATAAATAAAATTATATTTATAGATGGACCTTTTTTCGGAGAAGCACTGTTGCAACTAAATAGCAGATTGCTTCCCAAAAACAACAAAAAAAGTTTTTGGTCCTATAATATATATACATATATGTATATATATAGAAGGACCAAAAACTTTTTTTGTTGTTTTTGGGAAGCAATCTGCTACTAGATACTAGGAAGCACCAATGATTTCTAACCATGTGACCTATTTTATTTTATTCCATTGGTCGGACATCTTTTTTTTTTTTTTTTTTCCTTCATTTTCATTCAAGTCGTCATTGGCATCCCAGAAAGCTTTCTCGCTTGTGTGAAGTCGTCATCGAAGTTCCTCGTGGACTACATTGGTGTATATTTTATTTGATTTTATTTATGGGGGGGTTGTTTGTTTTTTGGAGTGCGGGAGATCTCTGCTCCCTCTCCCTCCCTCTCCGTCCCGTCCTCGGGTGTCCCGCGCTCTGCCGTTGTCCCCGGAGTTACCGTTCCGACGAAGAGCATCGACCCTTTCCCCGTCCCCGTCCCGCATTCTCTGGTCTGACTCGTGCCTGTCTGGATGTGCTCCCTTGTGCACCCTGCTCCGCTGCGCAGTAGTTCTCTGGCTTTAACTGTTTTGCTGTGGGCAGGCGAAAACAAGCAGAAGGGGTATCAGCTATTTAGGAAGCGAGAGATGGGTTTTCCTCAGCTAATTTGTTTTTTGCTTTTTTTTTTTTTGAGCACTGTCTTTTTCTCAATTCAGTGTGATTTGTTCACGCTCGGAGTAAGAATGAGAAAAGAATATCAGGGGCTTTTATTTCTTTTGCATTTAGTTTTATTTCTGTGGGGTTGTCTTTTGATTTCTTTTCTTTTTAAGCTGAGACACGACTCTGAAAAGCCCACTCCTATCTTTGTTTTCCGTGCAAAGATAAAAGCTTAAAACCCGATGGCTTCATGCCCTCCATTCCAGCTAGAGGAAAATTGGCTGTTGGGCTCCAACAAAGGGCCAGTTTTCTTCCTTCAGGAACTAAGGTCCCATCCTGTTGGCCACACTCGGGCCTGCACAGTACCG